TTATCATCTTCAGCAGTCGAGAGCAAAAGTGGATGGATAAACAAGTGATCGGAAAAGAAAAAAATAATCTGGATAACTTTTTATAAATTTGGACCAGAAAAGTTCTTTGACACCATTAGAAAATATGAATTAAGTGAGAGCAAATGTTGTCGATCTAGATGACACAATAGTAATATTGCTTTGATCTGGCTGGTTATGCGATATTCAAAATAAGTAACGCATTGGATATCAATGGATTTTGAAAATCGTCGAAACACTGGTTAAAACGGACTATTGATGATAGACGATTTTTTTTTGCCAAATAAGTTAAATACCTATGTGTAAGTAAAAGGAAATGAGTTATCTTTGTGCCGTCGTCGAACGGCTTATAATCGTACCATATTGGAATTGAAACAGTGTTATGAACATCATATTAAATATTTCTACTAAGTCTTATAATCGTACCATATTGGAATTGAAACCTTGGTCAAGCAATCTTTACCAAAAGCTATTTACCTTATAATCGTACCATATTGGAATTGAAACCCCGGAATTAATGAAAGAATTAAGGTCTTTTCTTGCTTATAATCGTACCATATTGGAATTGAAACTTGTCTAGTGTGCGGATGTTTGGCTCTTGGCCGATGCTTATAATCGTACCATATTGGAATTGAAACACGGTGCAATTGAGCCGCTAAGGGTGGTTTAATTACTTATAATCGTACCATATTGGAATTGAAACACAGGAAATGCCATACATTTGGTAGGTACTGCCACACTTATAATCGCACCATCTTGGAATTGAAACTCGAGTATCTCGCAGCTGATAGCCACGTCATCATCCTTATAATCGTACCATCTTGGAATTGAAACTAAGCAGGGTTCCTTTTGATGCAGTATTCGCCGTGCAGGTGTGCTGCACGGTTCTTGCACTATTTCGATGCTATCGAAATTGCTTTCAGCAACGTTTAGTCATAATCGAACCATCTTGGAATTGAAACTGAGTAGACTTTCGGCTTCTAGATCTTCTGTTGACTTATAATCGTACCATCTTGGAATTGAAACATGCTCAGAAAGCCGCAGCCAAAAGAGCAGGACAGGCTTATAATCGTACCATCTTGGAAATGAAACTTTTCTATAACTTGTAAACTGTCTTGACTATCATTCTTATAATCGTACCATCTTGGAATTGAAACAGATGTGATGGATAATACATGGATGATGACTATGACTTATAATCGTACCATCTTGGAATTGAAACTAGGCAGCGATCCTACAGCAGCAGACAAAACAAACTTATAATCGTACCATCTTGGAATTGAAACTACCAGAGAGCCATGCCATCTGATCATCCACTGCATCTTATAATCGTACCATCTTGGAATTGAAACAATTAGACGGCAAATAGCTCTTGAAACGCAAAAGTCTTATAATCGTACCATCTTGGAATTGAAACTTATTTAGACAAACGTAAAGAGCATTTGCATAAACTCTTATAATCGTACCATATTGGAATTGAAACTGTGCAGGGTTCCATTTGATGCAGTATTCGCCGTGCAGGTGTGCTGCACGGTTCCTTGCACTATTTCGATGCTATCGAAATTGCTTTCAGCACCGTTTAGTCATAATCGCACCATATTGGAATTGAAATAGAGGAAAGTTTCTCGTTTCGCTCATTAGTCTTCGTTGCACTCAGCTTAATGGTCGAAAGTTAAATAAAGAAATGTTAATGAAACTGTTAAAATTACAAATATAAAAAATTATTTAATCCCACTGTCAGCAAAAACAGCGTTAAATTTCCGTTAAGGCCGCATTAAATGGGGTATTTCGTTCGTTAATAAGATAATAAAAATTATTTAATTATGGGCACTCAAGTATCTCTTATTCAATTTGTAGGTAGAGTAGGTAATACGGTAAGTTATTATCTGAATGAAGAACTCGTCTCTCGGACGATAGGTAAGGTCGATTTAGAAAAGATGCGGACGGCTCCGCAATATGAAGAAACACGTAAAAATCAATGTGAATTTGGCATTGCATCTTCAGGTGGAAAGCTTTTCCGACAGGGATTATTGCATCTCACTCAAGGACATACCAATCATGACTATGCATCAAAAGTTGTTCAGATTTTGACCAATACCTTGCGAAGTGACATGACTCAACCAAAAGGTCAAAAAACAATTAAAAATGGTCTCAAAAACCCATCTTCACAGCAGGCATTTAGTAAGTTTAATTTCTTTCACAAGTATAACACTAAGTTATATGGCAACATTCTTGTGAAAAAAACGCCTGATCAAAAAGCGTGGAGATTGAACCGTCAAATACTGTTCGGAAAGGGTGTGGAAGGTAATCAAATGACTGTGAAAATAGGGTATTATCATGTAGATTTTGAAGGTCAAGTGGCTAATTATGAGCATGCATTGTCCATCGCTTGTCATCGCAATGAGAAAATAGAATTTAGTGATTTTACCTTGCCAAAACCCAATGAAACAAGCACTCCGTGGACATTTGTCATCATGCAAGTATGGCGAGAGGGAACTATTCAAGAAGTGACGGGTATGACATATATGTCAGTTCTTGACTTGGTGGATAACGAAGCAACGACTTATGATAGTTTAATTTCAGTAGAAGAAGAACTGATCCACAAATGTGGTCGTGAAATGGAAAATTCAGATAAACAAAAGTGGTATGAAGCTGATGGAAAAGGTGGGGCTAAAGTAGTTAAAGGGCAGGATTTGCAAAATAGCTTAGTTAATCATGGAGAAGTGACGCATGGGTATCGAATGCATCGGGAAGATTTGGTGAAATTTGGTGGGCATAATTGGGACGATACGATTGGGAAGGTGGTGAAGGTAAAGTGATTGTTATTTTTTGTTGGATTTGCGGAATTGGTTGACTTGTGGAATTGCTTATGCAGTTATTGCATTGTAGTGGGGAGACTACGACGAACAGTTTCTAAAAGTGTTACCAGAGTTAGTACTTTCGATCATCAGCCAGATTATTTGGTGGATGTCGCTAATGCGAAGCAACTATTGCTTGTGCAATAGTTGCTTCGCATTATGTAGATCTATTTATCTTTCATTATAATGCTGGTAGGATACCAAAAGAACATAACTTGGTAGCGGAGAATCTCCGACGAATTTGTTGTTCCAGATGTGTAAATTTTTGTAGCAGAGATACTACATAATGGCTCAACATGAAAACTGAAATCAGGAGATTTTACCGTGATAAGGTAAGAATATTGCTTTAAAATTAAAATAGAATTTATATAGCTTTCTGAGAATTAGATTTTTCAGAAGGCTTTTTTTATGGAGATAGATTACTTCATAAAGAAATTATAATGATATTAAAAAGGCCACTACATTTCAATATAATATTTACGGATTTAATGACATTCATTTTTAACTAGAATTAATCTAAATAAAATTTGGCTATATTCTTTACAGCGATTACCTTTGTGCTCGTTAGAATTAATCTAAATAAACATAGTTATGCGTTGTCTTTTTACACCAATTTATTTATTTGTCATCATCGCTGTTTTTGGATATACAAACACATTAGCTTCCCATAATCCAAACAATGAAGTCATCCCTGTCATAATGGGAATGATCAAATCTAACCTTTCCGAACCAATCATCGGTGCGCACATCACTATAGATGGGACTTTGGTAGGCACGACTTCTGATCTTAATGGGCAGTTTAACATAGTCAATATCAAACCTGGAACCTATTCCCTTAGTATATCTGCTATAGGATACAAGACGATAACTAGAGAAATCACGCTTGATGGCAACTCGCCAATAACGTTGGATATTATATTTGATGAAGATGAGGTCATTTTTCCAGAAGTATTGATCACTGGCAAAAACGATCGAATATTCTCTAAAATACCTGGATCAGTTTCTTTTATTAATACCAAAGAAATCAAAAATATCAACCCGATCTCTGGCAATGAAGTTTTCAGACGTACGCCTGGCGTGCATGTTGTGGACGAAGAAGGCGCAGGTATGCGTGCAAATATAGGCATACGTGGACTTGATCCTGACAGAAGTAGGTCTGTACTTGTGCTCGAAGATGGTATACCTGTGGCACTTGCTCCTTATGGTGAGCCTGAGATGTATTACACACCACCGATTGATAGAATGGCAGGCATAGAAATCTTAAAAGGTGCTGGTCAGATTCTTTATGGACCACAGACGATAGGAGGCGTCATCAATTATCTAACAGCAAATCCACCTGCAGAAGCATCGGGTAAAATACGTCTTCAAGCTGCAAATGGTGGATATATCAATGGTCTAATTAATTATGGAAATACCATTGGCAAAACTGGTTATCACATTTCTTTATTGAAAAAAAGAGCAGATAAACTGGCTTACACAGGATTTGACATCACAGATTTGAATGCAAAACTACTATTCAATTATTCGCAAAAATCAGCACTATCTATCAAGTTTGGCTTTTATAATGAAATCTCCGATGCGACCTATATCGGACTGACACAAACGATGTATGAAAAAGGTGGACAAGATTTTGTCCACATGGCACCTGATGACTTGCTTTCTGTGCGTAGATACAGCATGAGTGTACATCACGATCTGAAAATTAATGACAAAACCAAATTGAAATCCACTGCTTTTGCCTATACAACGACTCGTGACTGGAGACGCCAAGATTTTGTATCTAATACCAATAACAACAACAAACCATTCAACTGGACAGGTGTAACTTGGGGCGACGAGTCGATTCCTGGTGGCGCTATCTACATGAGAAATCAAAATGCACATAGAAATAGAAGTTTTGAAGTACTAGGTGTAGAGTCTAATCTTGAAAGATCTTTTTCATTCTTCAGTATTAATCATAAACTTAAGACAGGTGCAAGGTTTATGCATGAAAAAGCAGACGAGCAGCGCATCAATGGCACTAAAGCAAATGCTTCTTCAGGCGCCTTGGTAGAAGATGAAGAAAGACCAGGAAATGCTCTAAGTATTTATGCACAAAATGTATCTGAAATCTCTAGCCAATTTGAGCTACACTATGGCGTGAGATTGGAACATTTTAGTTATGGTCGAGATATATTTAGACGGACATTTGCAGTAGGAGGACAGAATGTTTTGAGAGATACCTTTCTTACAAGTAATAATCATGTGCGTCAGTTGATACCTGGTGGAGGATTTAACTGGAAACCAAATCAAAAAGTCAATATTTTTGGTGGTGTACACATGGGATTTGCGCCACCACGTACCAAAGATGCAATATCAAATAATGGTGAAGTGTATAATCTTGCCGCGGAAAAAAGTATTAATACTGAACTTGGTGTGAGAGCAGACATTGCTAAAGGAATACATGCAGAACTGACGGCTTTTCACATGAATTTCAGCAATCAGATTATTCCTGTATCAGAGTCGAGTGGTGGCACAGGTGCAGGATTGGTCAATGGTGGTGAAACTGTTCATCAAGGCATAGAAGGAGCTGTAACATTGGACATTAGTCAAATGCTTGGTTGGACCAAAAATGCATTGATCATCAATACCAATGCAACCTACACCGATGCACATTTTGAAGGAGACAGACAGCAAGGAGGAGAATTATTGAGTGGAAACGCTACTCCCTATGCGCCTAATCTTTTGATAAATTCAGCCATAACCTTTGAGACTTATAGTGGCTTGGGTATTAGGTTCGCTTCCAATTATGTAGGCGACCAATATACCGATGAACTGAATACTGTTATTGCTAGTCCTGATGGAAGAACTGGACTCATTCCGAACTACCATACGATAGATGGCAATGTATTTTATAAACTCAAACCTTGGAATACTACATTTTCCATCGGTATCAAAAACGTAACTGACGAAAGATATATCGTTTCGCGAAGGCCACAAGGCATCAGATTGGGATTGCCGAGATTGGTTACATTTGGCGCAGAACTTACTTTTTAAAGTACAATTAGATATCAAAATATATGTGAGACCAATTATCTATTAAAAGGTAGTTGGTCTTTTTAATTACAAAAATTTTCGAAGGAAATATTCTAATTCAATATTAACCCCTGACATAAGGCTGTCATAAGGGCATTATACTTTTGCAGCTAAATCAAAAAAATAAAATGAATCAGCAAATAAAGACATTCCACGTGATTGGTATCGCATTGAGAACGACCAATGAAAATGGACAATCAGTTCAAGATATTCCTGCTCTTTGGAATCGTTTTATGACAGAAGGCATTATGAATCAAATACCCAATAAAGTCGATCAAACTATGTATTGCATTTATACCGATTATGAAAAAGATCATACAAAACCATACACCACGATACTTGGATGTAAGGTATCAAACTTGGATCAAATACCATATGGTTTGGTTGGCAAAACATTTGAAGAGCAGACATACATAAAACGAATAGCAAAAGGCAATCTAATGCAAGGCATTGTTTATGAAGAATGGACTAAAATCTGGAATGCTGATTTGAACAGAACTTTTACTGCAGACTTTGAAGTCTATGATGAACGTACACATAACCCCGAAAATGCAGAAGTTGATATTTTTATATCTGTCAAATCATGAAGATAAAAAGTAAATTTACCTTTAGAACCGTTTAAGTTATTTCCTAAGACTTTAGGATAATCCTTTTCCAATAATCACATATCACCACCACCTTCGAACTCACCTTCTCTACCTGGTTTTTTACGCTCTTTTTTCATATTCAAACGATAATTGACTGTGGCTACGATGGGTGCTCGTCTCCATTGTTGATCGACTCTTTGATAAAAGTCATCTGTAAATATCTCTGAGTTTCTTCTTCTAGAATTGAACAAGTCTCTTGCTGCCAATGTAAATGATGCATTATTGGACCAAAAGTCCTTGCTAAATGCAATGTCTACTATATACTGTGGAAATTGTACGCCTTGTGGGATATCAACTGGTGCACGATAATTAAATCTCAACTGAAAATCAGCGTTTTTCCAGAAAGATACCCTCGACCCAACTCTTCCGAACCAACTGTAGCTATCAGCACCAAGATCTAATCCATCAAACTCACCTTTGATCACATTCCTAAAAAGATTTACATTACCATCAAGCTTGAGCCATTTATTGGGATTGTATGCAAACAAAAACTCTATGCCGGCATTATCAGAAGTGGCTAGATTTAATGGTCTAGTATTGGTCGTACCGTCAAGATTAAAAGTAGTTACCCTTTGGATTACATCTGTGGTATGTCTCCAAAACAAACTAGTACCAATGTTTCCATTTTCCCAAAACTTGATATGACCTAGTTCGTAACTATCAGTAAACTCAGGGTTTAGATTTGGGTTACCACTGAATATATTTCTATTGTCAGCAAATGTAAAGAACGGATTTAAGTCCCAAAATCTTGGCCGCTGTATTCTCTTGGTATAGCTAAGTTGAAATTGATTCTTACCTGCAAACTCATAGTTGATGTGTCCACTTGGGAAAAGGTTAAAGTAGGTTCTTGGATTGACTTCATTCGTTTCTAATAATTCGGTGTTTATATCTGAATACTCTAACCTCAATCCACCTTGATAACTAAATTTATTCACTTTGGATCCATAAATGGCGTAAGCTGCGTGAACATCTTCTTTATACCGAAAATCATTAGATAAGTTGTCTATTCTCAACCAATCTGTACCTTCTAACTCTTCTACCAAATAATCATTGCGGATATCTCTCAACTGCGACCTCAATCCACCTTCAAACTTAGTATCCTTAGAAAACGGGTGTACATAGTCTGCTTGAAGAATGATCGTTTGTTGATCTTCTGCATTTTCTGCACGTTGTATCAATGTGTTTCCTTCGAAGTTACCCATGTTATAAAAGCCTTGGGTATAATCAGATTTTTCCACTTCATCATTGCTACTGAATTGCACAGAAGCTTTTAGTTCTCGCCCTTCTTGTTTAAATCTTTTGATATAATCAAGAGTGTATTCTAATGTAGGACTTGTTTCCTTTTCAATCTCTGTTCGCAAAGAATAAGAAAGTGTTGGTACTAAAAATCGACCTCTTGGTTCGTTGCCATAAAAATTATGGTCAAAATACTTGATAGGATTATTATTGTCATTGAATGAATAACGATACAAAAACGAACCAGTCAGTGTCTGAGACTCACTTAATGAGAAATCCATTCCTGCTCTAACACTATTTGCCAATCTAATTCTTTCACCTTCTCTAAGGATATAACTTGCTACCGTAGTGTCACCTACATAAGCTTCTTGATAAATATATCCATCTGATGGGTTGTTATTATAATTAAAACCATAATTTACAAAAAAATTGGTCTTGCCCTTTCGGTAGTTCAAATTTGCTCCTAGTCCATAATTTTCTGGCCAACCACCTGATGCTTCAAATGATCCATTAATACCTGCTTTATTATCTTTCTTCAATACAATATTGATAATGCCGGACATCCCTTCTGCTTCAAACTTTGCAGAAGGATTGGTAATTACTTCTATTCTATCTATCATATTTGCTGGAAGAGATCTCAATCCATTCGCACCACCGATTCCGACTAATCCACTAGGTTTACCATCGATCAAAATTCTGACATTTCCACTACCTCTTAGACTCACGCCACCATCTACATCTACTGTAACAGATGGAACATTGTCAAGTATATCTTGCGCCGTTCCGCCACGATTTGATAGATCCTTGCCTACGTTAAATACTCTTTTGTCTAATGCAAAAGTAGTTTCGCTTTTTTCCCCTACGATCTCCACGGTCTCTAGCGCCACAGCATCAGAAGCTATCACAATATCGCCAAGTGTTACGGATTTTTGACCGTCCTTTGGCATAATATTATCAATTCTCTTTGTGGAAAACGAAAGAAACTCAATAAGAATATACATCTCTTTTGCACTACCTTCTACACTGAAAGTCCCATCTACTCCTGTAAGACCTCCGCTTAATAGTGCATTATCTGTTTTTGAAAATAATGATACTGTTGCGAACTCTAAGGGTAGACCTGTAGACTCTTCTATAACTTTTCCTGAAATATTTGTGACTGATCCTTTCTCTTGTGAATAAGCTAAAAAAGGAAAAAGCATGGCGAAGAATAAAACTATTCTGAATTGCATAAAAGATAAGTTGTAAATAATTTAAGCTAAAAATATTGGGAATCCACGTGTTTTGTTTAAAACAAAAGAAACGTTACTAATAGACAAATTGTATTAGCCAAAGGTTTAATCATTACAACAGGATATCCAAATATTATTCTGTACTAAGGTAAAAACGTTATTAAATCAGGAATTTTAAGAAAACTTTAAGAGTATTTGCCGCTTACAGTTTAAATATTTGAATTGAAAAATCTTTTCTCTACCTTTAGAACATCCTTTGTAATATTTGAGTTAATCTTGTGGTTTTTAATGTTAGTGCATAAATAAAATCATTCAGATAACAATATAAAACGGTAATTGCACATTTAATAAGTAAAATGAAAACGTCTTTATTTTATGATCAACTTTATTATTAAAATAGTCCCTTTAGTTTTTTGCTTTCAGGTTTTAGTCGGTCAAAGTAATCTAGCGCTTGGCGAATGGAAATCTCATTTAGCATACCGAGAAGGCTTGACAGTAACCCAAAGTGAAGATAATATCATCTATGGGTCTCAAATAGGCATTATTGTTATCAATAAAGATGATTTATCTGCCAGTTTTTTAGCAAAAGAAGATGGTTTTTCTGGTGTAAATACTTCATTTATTGCCTATGACAAATTTAATGATCAGCTCATCATATTCTACAAAGATAGTAACATTGATATTCTTAAAGGTGTAGATGTCAATTCTCTACCTTTTATCAGATCAAACTCAAGTATTGTCGGTAGTAAATCCATAAATGACTTACATCTTGTTAATGGAGAACAATCATACATTGCTACTGATTTTGGAGTATTGGGCTTTAATCCTGCTAAACAAGAGTTTCCTTTTACAACATTTACTGATTTACGCGTTTTCTCTGTTCAAGTTTTTAATAATGAACTATATGCAGGAACAGAAGAAGGTCTATACAAAGTTGCACTAGATGGTCGCAATCTTTCCGACTTTAATCAATGGACATTAATACCTGCGTCTAGTGGACTACCTCAATCTTATGAAGTTTCTGGAATGGGAGTCAAACATGGTCATTTATATGCGCATATAGATAACAATATTTACAAAATGAATAATGATGGATCATTTAGTTTATTGTTTAAACCCTCTGCTGCTCAAGGTACTATTAAATTCATTTCTGATGAAGGAACATCGATTATGGTAGGTATGCAAAATGCTTCATTCAGTGGTAAAATGATATTTATTGACGATAATGATAATATCACAAATGGTGTGTCTGATTGTTTTTCACTAGTGGAATATGCCATTGAAGATGAAAAAGGTAGGGTTTGGTATGCGGATCTTTGGGATCCTATAAAATATACTGACACAAAGACTTCGACTTGCCAAAGAATATCTTTCAGAGGACCTTTTGCAAATACGGCGGGTAAAGTAGGCTTTAAAAAAGATGTCGCATATGTAACTTCTCAGGGTATCACAGAAAGTTTTCAGCCTACGGGTACTAGATGGGGATATTATAAATATGAAAATCAAGAATGGACCAACTATAATCAAAGCAATATTCCTCTAATGATTAGTACGGACTTTTCGAGTGTAGAAGCTATAGCTTTAGATCCCAAATCGCCTACAGTTTACGTCGGTGGTTATTGGAATGGTATCATAAAATATAATGAAGAAACACAAGAAACCGAACATTTTAATAAAGACAATAGTATCCTCCAGCCAGTAGAAGGCGATTTTGCGAGAACAAGGATAGGTAGTCTAGCCTTTGATAAAGATGAAAACCTCTGGATATCCAATTATGGGGCACAAAAACCACTTGTGGTAAAAACTAAAGAAGACATTTGGTATAATTTCGGTGTTCCAGCAGCTACAAATCTTACGGATATTGTTTTTGATGATAATGACAATAAGTGGATAGTGGTAGCTGGTGTCGGTAATGGTATGATTGTATTTAACGAAAATGGCTCTTTAGCTGATCCCACAGACGATAAAATAAAGTACATTACTAGAAATAATAGTGAAATCACAGGCAACAAAGTAAATTGTATAGCGAGAGATCTTGATGGATCTATTTGGGTAGGAACAGACGAAGGACCTGTAGTATTTGATTGTGGGGATCCATTTGCCACAGCATGTAGAGGCACTACTCGTAAAGTTGTAGTAGACGATATACCTGCTCCCTTATTAAAAAGTGAAGACATTCTATCCATAGGTGTTGATGGAGCAAATAGAAAATGGTTTGGAACGCGTAATGGTATCTTTGTGCAGTCGCCTGATGGCACAAGTCAAGTAATAAAATTTGACACTAAAAACTCTCCATTGTTGACAGATGTAGTGACAGAACTCACCTTCAACCCAATCACTGGTGAGATGTTTATTATTACTACAGGCGGTATACAATGTTTCAAAACTGAAACCACTGGTGGCGTCCTAAACCACAATGATTCGCAAGTTTATGCTTTCCCAAATCCTGTCAGACCTGATCATACTGGTCCGATAGCGATTAAAGGTCTCGTCAGAGATGCCAATGTTAAAATCACAGATATCAATGGTAAATTGATTTATGAAACAAAAGCTTTGGGTGGACAAGCTATTTGGGATGGTCAAGATTATAATGGTAGACGAGCAGCAACTGGTGTCTATTTAGTATTCAGTGCAAGTGAAAATACATCTAGAGACAAGGAAGCGTTTGTCACTAAGATACTAATCGTTAATTAACTAGTGCTTTGTTTGCTAATAGAAATCTAGCGTTACTTTTTTCTATGATTTCTAGATAATACTGTTCATAAATAGGTAAGATTTCGTGGATGTCAAATCTTTTTGCTTGAGCAAATGCATTTTTACGAAAAGATGCCAACTTTTCTTCATCTTCTAGCAGTTGTACACATCTCCTTGCCATACAATTTACATCAGCTACGTCACACATATAACCTGTGACACCATCTATATTTACCTCTGGAATACCTCCTGCATTAGAAGAGATCACTGGTACTTCGCAAGCCATCGCTTCCAAAGCTGCTAGACCGAAACTTTCGTTTTCGGAAGGTAAAATAAACAAGTCAGCAATGGCCAATATTTCTTCTACGGCTTCTTGTTTGCCCAGAAATCTTATATCTTCACAGAGATGATAACTACGACACAAGTCTTCCATCGTTTTTCTTTCAGGTCCGTCACCAATCAAAAGTAACTTAGACCTTACTTCTTTATTCACAATACTGAATACAGCAATGACATCTTCTACTCTTTTTACTTTTCTGAAATTAGAAATGTGCACCAATATCTTTTCACCTTCTGGGGCTATCGCTTTTTTGAAGTGGTCTTTATTGGTTTTGCGAAAACGATTGAAATCTATAAAATTGTGAATAACTTTAATATCTGTTTTGATATCAAATGTAGACAAAGTCTCTTGCTTTAGCTGATCAGAAACTGCAGTCACACCGTCAGACTCATTGATACTAAACTCTACAACTGGAGCAAAAGAATTGTCAGCACCTACAAGCGTAATGTCCGTACCATGTAAAGTAGTAATCACAGGAATATTAATGCCATGGGATTTTAATATTTGTTTTGCCATATAAGCAACGGCTGCGTGAGGTATTGCATAATGGACATGCAAAATATCTAACTTTTCAAACTTGACTACATCTACCATTTTGCTAGCCAATGCTGTCTCGTATGGTGCATTTTCGAAAAGTGGATACTCAAGAGATGTCACTTCATGAAAAAAAACATTCGAATGAAAAGCGGTAAGTCTTACTGGTCTTTTGTATGTGATAAAGTGCACTTCATGTCCTTTGTCTGCCAAACCTATTCCAAGTTCGGTAGCGATCACTCCACTACCACCAAACGTTGGGTAACATACAATACCTATTTTCATTTTATTTATTTTTTAAAACGTTGTTGTTTTGATTTATTGGCCAAATATTTGGAGTTTTTCCTAAAGACATCTGTCAGAAAGATATTCAAGCAAATATAATCGTTGATAACAAATAATAATTAAAAACGTTTGAGTGTATGAATATTTATATGAAGTGTCAATATGGATTGGAATAGTAGTTTAAAAGGTTTTAAAGCTTATCTTCTTTTAGAAAAATCGCTTTCACACCATTCTATTGAAGCTTATATAAGAGATGTGGGCAAGCTATTAGAGTATGTACTCATCCAAAAAATAGACCTTACGCCAGATAAATTGAATGGTGACCATCTCACAGGATTTGTTTATTACATTAACGATCTAGGTCTTGAACCTAAAAGTCAAGCTCGTATAATATCCGGAATTCGGGCATTTTATAAGTTTCTAATCATGGAAGACATCATTGATACCGACCCGTCTGAACTTCTAGAAAGTCCTAAACTTCAACGCACGCTGCCCGATGTACTTAGTTATGAAGAGATTGATTTATTACTGAATTCTATAGACCTGTCTCTGCCACATAGTCAACGAAACCGGGCAATGCTCGAAACCTTATATGCCTGTGGACTGCGTGTTTCGGAGTTGATCACGTTAAAAATAAGTAATTATTTTCCAGATCAAGGTTTTGTAAAAGTGTTAGGTAAAAACAATAAGGAAAGACTCGTGCCTATAGGAGATTCGGCAGTAAAGCATATTAATTTGTATATGGCAACAGAAAGAATGTCTTTACCTAGTATCGCTAAAGGCTCTGAAGATATTCTTTTTCTAAATCGAAGAGGAAAGGGCTTGAGTCGGGTAATGATATTTACTATGATTAAAAATTTTGTAACCCTTGCAGGAATTCAGAAGACGGTCAGTCCGCATACTTTTCGTCATTCATTCGCTACACATCTCGTAGAAGGTGGAGCAGATTTACGTGCTGTGCAAGAGATGTTGGGACACGAATCTATTTTGACTACAGAAATTTATACCCATGTTGATAGGAATTATTTGCGTGACACCATGATGAAGTACCATCCATTAAGCCAAAAGTAAACTTATTTTCTAAATTCACCGTTAACATATAATCCACAATAAGACCTAAAAGGTTGACGTTTCATCAGTAACTGTCACTATCACTTCCCGACTATAATTTATTCATCACAAATTTTTTTATCATGAAAAACATCGTTTTCCTTTTTATTCTATTTTGTACAAGTGTCTCTGTTTCTGCACAATTGGGTCTATCTCTTGGTGGAGGTGCAAATTTCAGCAACCTAAAAGTAAACAATTTAGATAGTTTTAAACCCAAATCTAGCACTAATTACTTTCTATCTGTAAAACCAGAATTTCATCTTACTGAAAATTTGTGTATTGCTTTGGATATACAATTTTCTCAGAAAGGGTTTGGTTTAAATGCAGATACCACTGATTTTATTGATGGTTACAAGTTTCAATATCTTGATATAATTCCACAAGTTCAATATAAATTATTTAAGCAATTAGCTATATATGGCGGACTCGGAGTCGGAATCAGGGGATCAGAAAAATACAAGATCAGAGATGCGTGGGAAGAGGCTGTTACGAAAGTATCTAGTGGTACCGATTTTACTTATGTGGTAGGTGTCAGAATATTTGCAACAGACAAACTATTTTTGCAAGCCCATTATGCTGGAGGATTATCTTCTTTTTATAAAGATGTAGTTTTTACTGATCCTCAAGGTAATGAAATTGAGAATGCGGATACAAAGTTGAGAAATTTTCAGATCGGTTTAGGATACCAACTATTTTAGTACCAACTTTTTGCTCAATATTTCCGTCTTTGATATTGTACCAAAAATATATAGTATGTCACAGATAATTAAGTTTTTAAAAATCAGTAGTGTCGCTTTCATACTTTTTGTAGTGACATCGTGCTGCAAAGAAGATTCAACTACATGCGTAGAAAATATTAACAATGATTGTGTCTGTACCCAGCAATATGATCCTGTTTGCGGATGTAATAATAAAACATACGGTAATGCTTGTGTAGCAAGTTGTTCAGGCATTACAGAATTTACACCTGGTGAATGTCCTAAATAATTAATATTAACATTCCTTGTAAAAGAAGGAATATACACAAACAAAAAACAAAGTTTTCTGCTAAAAGATAAGCAAGTCGCTCAATTTTTTTTATTTAAAGTTAACGATTGCTTATCTTTTTATGTGCTAAACTTATTCTATAGGCGTCACAGGTTTTTGTTCTCTTGCTCCAGACAATGCTAAAGTGTACAAATAATAATTTTCGTTTTTATAGTTTTTATCTTCCCATTTTTGCCACAATTGCAAAGAAGGAAATCTATCCGCATCAAGTGGTTTTGGTGATAAAACGACAATTCCTCCCACACCCTTAAATTTTGCAAATAATTTTAGTTCGTTTTCAACAGGTAGATATATTTTGTCTACCCATCTGAAATAACTGAATGGAACGCCGTCAGGCAATTCATAAAAACTTCTTCTTGCATACCCAATTACTGGTGTCGCTTCAAATTTATTGATAGCAACAATAGGTACTTTTTCTGGTATCTTTTCTTTGATAAATTGGCCAGCAAGTTCTGCATTTGTAAACGGTATATTCTTTTCTTCTACTACTGCTTTTCCATTATGGACAATATTAAAAATAGCAAATACACCGATAACTAGTGTAGGTAAAAGTTCTTTTTTAATATCCAAACCTCTTATCTCTAGCAAAGCTATAAAAAATATGAATCCCATACCCCATTGTCTGATACCTCCTAGGAAAAACAGAACACTAAACGCTATCATCATTGCTAAAAACATCAAAAAAGTTTTTAGCAGTATCTTATTCTTATAAAACACAAAGCCAATCCCTGCTAAACATAACATTGATATCAAAAGCCCTATAGAAGTCCATCCGTAAGTAAATGTGTCATTTGTAGAACCGATGGCATAAGTATTACTGAGATTTCCCTGAAAAGAAGTCAGTATTTTGTCCATAAATTCAAGCTTTTTTGCGCTAGTTTTGCTGACGTGACCAGAACTCCTAGGAAAGACAGATATTACAAAAAATAATAGACCTGCAGCTAAGCCAATAATATCCTTGCCTTGCAAAGCAGTAAAAATATTTTTTTCTTTCATCATCACATAAAAACCTAGAGCTATTGCCATCAATGCACCATATACCTCGGTTTGACACAAAAGAAAAAGTACCACTCCTAGCTGAACTCGTGAATAATCCTCCTTTTTTAAAAGGCTTGCAGCCCAAAAGGCAAATAATATTACAAGGAAGTAACCTCTATTTACAATACCATATTCGAAAAATACAAAGTAAGATAATGCTAACAACACTTTGACAATTGTAGGTAGTCTAAACTTAACAAATAGAAAATATAATCCCGCTGCTACAGTAATGGTATGTGCAAAGTGAATAATGTATTCCGGTCTCGCCAGTGAAGAGAAAAATGTAAACATCTTTAAATATATATACCAAAGTGCCGGGTGACCTTCATAATAAAGGAAAGAAAAAACTTCTGTAAGACTTTTGTCTTTTGCAACAAACCAAGCTTGCCATTCATCTTTCCATAACTCATGATAATTAAACTTGAAATACGTAATGGCAATGACAAAAATGGCCCAAATTGTAAAGTCTATGTATTTATTCTTCATGTTCCTGAATTTTCACAGTCAGCGAATTAATACCTTCAAGGCTGTCTTTTCTCGAATGTTGCTCGAATATTAATGTATATTTTCCTTTCTTTTTATAATATGCTTTTGTAGACATTTCTATTTCAATATCACAGTTTTTGCTTCCACAATCACCGATCCAATTGGTCTGACTATCTGATAATTGAAATGAAACAGGATTCGTTATTTTTTCACCATCAGGAAAAACTGTTGTGATATTTAAATAAAGGTTTTCAAAAGAAAAATCTATTTCATGATTGATACTTAAAAGTAAATCATAAGCTACTGATGTATCTTGAACCTCATATTCAAAACTAATTTTATCAGCATATGACCATGGATTTGGGACATCTTCATTCTGATCAAAAATGGTTTTTGGTCCACACGCATACAACATTACAAAAAATAAAACGAAAAACAGGTACTTCACTAGCGAGAATATTTTTAGCAAAATTACTTTTCTTTTCATTATTATTTACTCTTACTTGATATTATAATTGCTTTTTGGCTTTTTGGAGACCTCAAATCAACAAAATTATAATAACATCTTTCCGTTTAGTTAAAATTTACAATAATTGTAATTGACAACTAAAAAATATGTAAATATCAATATCAGGTGTATATTTGATCTTCTATTATGCCATTATCCGAATATTTTCTCATGAACACAAAAAGGTTTATATTTATTTTATCATGTCTTGTCTATTGCTTTGCTGGTATCCTTACCATAAAGGCTCAAAATAGTGATACACCAAAACCTCTGAGTAACACACATTATATCAAAAACTGCTTTTTGGTAAAACAGCCTGGTGTAATACTTTCAGGACAAAATATCATTGTTAAAGATGGATTTATATCAGATATTGGACCTAATTTAAAAATACCATATGATGCTCAGATTTTACTTGCTGACTCCATGTATGTGTATGCTGGTTTTATAGATGCATATTCTAATACAGGTATCACAAAACCAGAACAAAAAGATAGACCTAGAATTGCAGACCCTGGTAATCCGCCCAATGATATTGCAGGCATCACTCCTCAGTTTTTATCAAATGAAAATTATAACCCTAGCGACAAGTCAGTAACAGACATGCGAACAGCTGGTTTTGGATTATCTCAAGTAGCACCAAGAGGAATGATGCTTCCAGGACAAAGTAGTATTTTCCTACTCGGCGAAGGAAATACAGATGAAATGATATTGAAATCTGAATCTGCTCAAAATTTCCAATTCGAAACATCAAGAGGCGTTTACCCATCAACATTGATAGGGATTATGGCTAAATTCCGAGATTTATACCAAAATGCAAAGATTGCTGGTCAGCATGAAGAGAAGTTTTTAAAAAACCCAAGTGGCCTTGCAAGACCTGATTACAACAAAGAATTAAAATCTCTTTATCCCGTCACCACAAAAAAGCAGCCGCTATACATTGTGGCACAAAAGACTAAAGATGTGCATAAAGCACTTTTACTTAAAGAAGAGTTTGGGTTTGACCTTGTATTAACAGAAGTCAAACAAGGATGGCACTATATTGATAAAATAAAACAACAAAATATACCTGTGCTTCTTTCTTTAGATCTTCCTGGAGAAGAGAAAAAACCACAGGAAAAAGAAGCTAAAGATGGTGAAAAAAAGGATTCTTTAAAAACCGAAGTTAAAGAAATCAAAAAAGAAAAATTAGATCCTGAGAAAAAAGATTTCGATGCGAAGAAAGCAGCAGTTGTCAAAGAATATTTGGCCCAAGCTGCTAATTTTGAAAAAAACGGAATAAACTTTGGAATTTCTTTTTTAAACAGTAAGCCATCAGATATTAAAAAGACTATTAAAAAACTAATTGATAATGGTCTTAGTGAAAATGGCGCCTTAGCTGCTCTTACTACCAATCCTGCACAAATACTCGGTATAAGTCATCTACTTGGGACTGTAGAAAAAGGAAAAATTGCCAATCTTACCATTACAGACAAATCTTATTTTGATGAAAAATCTGTGATCAAGTTTGTTTTCGTTGACGGCAAAAAATATGATTACTCAGAGAAACCTAGAAAACAAAAAGATAGTAAAACAGACCACAAAATGATTGGTCTTTGGTCCTACGAAGTTGAAATACCTGGCCCAATACAAAAAGGTAAAATTAATATTAAAAAAGATGGTTCAGATTTCAAAATATCTGTAAAAGACGATACGT